GGGACATGTGCATGACGGATGCCTCCTTCGCTCCTTTTTCTAACATTCGTCTTATCTTATGTAAAATATAGATTTCATGGGCCTCACAAGAATACAAACATTTGTCTCACCTACCACCCCCTTCTTCCTTTTTTCTTTCTGGATGCCCTGTCTCCTTAAAAACTGAGTTCCCAAATCCCACTTCAGAAAAACAGGCATAAACGCATCTGCGGTTTGTGTTTTCCCAGGCGCATTGTCAAACTTTGGCCTCAGTCACTTGTTTTGGATTGTCATATATGTGTTGTTCAAATTATATCAACATCTACACTGAAATCAGAAGTGACAACAATGAGATTAGGCTCATAAGGATTTGGAAAGAATTAAATTAAGCCCCAAATTAAATTGTGTAAAGTTAATTTAAAAACCAGATGGTGCTTCTTCTGGAACAAGCCTTCTAAGATTGATGAAACAAAACAAATTCTATCTCTAACAGGGATGGCATTAGCACTTTTGCTCTTGGTCTTTGAATTAGACAGAATCCCCTTCCTATAATTCTTTGACATCTATTATTACTGGTTCTTTTTTCTCTGGGAAGAAAGCATGTAAGTATAGCTTGCACTCTAAGAATATGTCACCCTCATTAAGAAGTGATGCTGTCACCACAGTAAACCGTGGTCCTAGCTGACATGTACTGAGCACTTACCATGAGTTAGGCAAGGTTCTAAGTGTTTCATGTGTATTAATCCATCCTCAAACTACAGATGAGAAGCTGAGGCAAGGAGAGGTGAAGTCATGTATTCGAGGTCACGCCTATTGTCACCAAAGTCCACGGCTGGGATCATAGATCGCTTTGGAAATCTGCTGAAAACTAGATAACTTCTTCCGGCGGGGGGGGTGGGGAGGGAAGCCCAGAACCTAGAATTTTACGTATAGTTTCTGAAGGCTCACAACCCACTCCCTATGTGTCTGTCTTCCCAGGTTTGGGAATGAACTAATACTGTAGTCACATCAGGTGACAATGGTGTGTGGGAGCAGCAGTGAGGTTCCTGGACATAAAGGAGCCAAGATCTTCCTGAGATGTGACATGGGTAAGGAATGACGGCAGAGACAGGACCAGAAGCCCTGACTGAAGAAACCACTAAGTCTAAAGAAACAACGTGCCCACAGGAAGGGGGGTGGTCACAAGTGAAAAACCGCAAAGACACTTTCAGGGAGATGGATGCTGCCCTGGGTCCCGCCAACACTGAGGCCTGAGCTCACCCAGCCTCCCTTTCATTTGCTCCCTTACAGGGGGGTTCCTGGGGGGATTAATTAATTAATTATCAATTAATTACAAGGCTTTCTGGTTTCTATGTCAACACTGTGAACAGAGGGAATACAATTTGTGTTTGCTGAATGATTGACTAATCTGAAGAACTTTAAGATTTCAAAAAAACCTCTACAATACAAAAATCTGTTTTGTGACAACATCTTACCTTCATATCTTGATCCATCTGGATATATAAAAGTGCCTTGACCATGCTTTTTATTTTTAACATATTCTCCGATGTATCGAGCACCATTTTTAAATCTGTAGACCCCCTGAAACACATCAATCATATAATTCGTATCATTCCTGAATGTAATATTCGCCAACAGGGTATTCAATAGAGAAAACGGCCCAGTCAAGTTACAGGTTCTGACCTGGCCGTGTCTCTTCCCGAATTCGTAGCTCCCTTCGTAGGTGTCCCCGTTGGGCAGCCTGGCTTTCCCGTGCCCATGCCGTTCGCCTGCCTCATTCCGATCCCCCTCATAGTCCTGAGTGAAAGACGTTGAGATAATTACAGCTACCAGGCATTAAGCACTAAGCATGTGCTAAGCATTTTATAAATACCATACTATTGAATCCCCTCAATCCTAGGTATTATGCTCAATTGCCCCATCTTGCAGGTGACATGGGTAACCAAGCCTGGGAAAGACAAAGCACTGGACCAAGGTCACGCACAAGTACATGTCCATGGTGGGAGCCTTACCCTCTCCCTCCAACATCTGAGCTTGCAATTTATTATGATAATCCTTTACGCTGTAAACAAAACCAACCAATTTGTTTGAAAATTGCTAGGTATTCTAGACTGTGTTCTTTATAGGAATATGATTGCAATAGCACATATGTGTGGAACAGTTCAAGCTCATACAAATACTTCCCCATTTGCTTCCTTCAATAATCCAGAACTTAGAAGGCAAATGCCCTGAGAGAAGTAACTCTTCCTTCAAATGATCCCCGGAGTGTCTGGGGCCTGAAGAGGCCTTTGCCCTGCAAGGAAATTCCAATGTGAGGAAGAGGTGTGGGAGGGCGCTGAGGAGTACATGGGACTCCACTGTCCACTAAGTCAACTTAGTTTATTTTATTATTAAACTCCCAATCAAGAAACTTAAGGTTCAAACACTGATAGCCCAATAGTGAAATAATTACATATCTATCTTAAAAGTAAATCAATAAACTATTGTGGCAGAATCCTGCAATTTCCCTATTTTTCCCATCCTTGATTAAATAAATGGTCCTTAGCACCTGAGTATAGAGTACATATAATAATAATAAAATGGCCAAAGTATATAGTAATGATTTAATATGGGTATCTCATAACATCAAGTTGTATACTTTAAGTACACAGCAAAATTTATGAAAAATTAAAAAAAAATAAAAACTATGAAATTGGCTTTATCTAGTTTTATTTTAACACAAGTATAGACACACTACATTGAGGACTTCAGAAACAAACATCTATGCAATTCTTGCCCTTTTCTAGCACTGTCTGGCCCAGAAATTCTTGCCTATAATATAAGGTAAAAAAAAAAATGTGTGACCTTACAGAGATTTGCTTCAGGATTAGTGTCAATCAAAATGTATAAACGGCCTCTCCTCTCATCCAAGAGGCCTCCCAAAACACCCAATACTGAGCCATTGGGATGGCTAAATAAAAGAGAAATCCTTTAAAATGACCCCAAATGTGATCTGAACCTAAAAATTATGGACACTTCATAGTTACGAATGAGTAGGGCCATTTGAGGAGACAAACTAGCAAGCTTGCTGGGCAGGTGTTGTTGGCTGGGTTCACCCATAAGCAGATCCTGAACAAGTGATTTTATTTTTAAGTGCTCTCTTGGGAGAAACTTGTAAAGGGGACAGGGCAGTAGATAAGAAAGACACGGCGGCTAAGCAAGGATGCAATTTCAGGTGAAGTCCCACATTCAGCCTGATCTCACAGGGACTCTGGAACATAAACTGCACTTCAGAGTTCGCCCTGCTTTTTGCACTAGCTACTGGCTGTCAGGAGGAGATGTAAATCCCAGGCACCATTCTGGCTCTTCATACTGGCCAAGTGGTGCCGGTGCTAGCTCTGAGCAGCAAGTCTGGCATAAGCTGGGAGATAAGTGCCCAGAGCTAGCGAAAACGTCTGAGCAGGCACTGACAGCACCACAACAAAGATGCTAGATTTTTCAGTTAATTTTGAAAGTGTCTCAACTCTGCACTGTGCACACACACAAAAGCTGAGGTTCCCAACCTGTCGGCCAGGGAGTGGTCACCCTCTGGCTTGGGGAGGAACTACCTTCCGGGAGGTACAAATATGCTCACACAGAGCCCAACTCACTTCCCGGCTGCCTAAACCAGGAAATGATTCCGAAGACCTGGGTCCGTTCAGAGGAGGCTGAAGAAAGCACATGTGAGTACAGGCCTATGTAGTAGTATCTCCAGGAACCCTCGCCTGAGCCCAGGGCCTCCTCAGTATTTCTTGGAGGCTGCCAGCAAGCAGCTTTCCTCCATCCGTCTTAATTCTAGAGAACAAGGCTCAGTTACAGAAATGGCTTACTCGAGGGTAGTTTGGCAGCCTGTGATGCTCTGATCATCCAAAAAAACCGCCTCAGTGGGGGTTAATACAGGCAGGAGGAAACTTCCAAAGCCGTTCCCTTGGAAACCTTCACCTTTGATGGGAGGCGGGATGGGAGTGGGCGGAGAGCAAGGAGGGATGTGGCTTCCAGACGTCATTGCGTTTCGTCTTTCGCTGTCAGCTTCCCCGCCGCCCGCGCACCCCCTCCCTCACCAGGCGCTCTCACCCCAAGATCATTCTCTCTCTCCTCCTCCAGCTCCTCAGAACCCAGGTCCGACATGGTTTCGCCCGGGCCTGGATCTCCGCCGCAGCGTCTCCAGCAGGTAAGTACCAGCCGCCTCTACCGCCGCGTCCGACGTCGCCATGGAGACGGGGCAGCCGTCTCTCTCCCAGCCCAGAAGGTGGGGTAGGAAGGGGCGGGGTGGGTGGCGCGGGGCGGAGCCACTGGCGGCCTTCGAGTACAGTCATGGCAACAGGAAGGCGCCTCGACCAATCGCCGCCCGGGAAGAGGGAGGGGCGGCCCGGAGGGCGGGGTGAAAAGCGTGGGTGGAGCCGGCAGCCTTCGCCTCGGCCAATCGCCGCTCGGGAAGAGAGAGGGGCGGGGCCTGGGGCGGACTGCCGATTCGGCTGCCCACTGGCTCCCTAACCTGGACACCGCGTCGCAGGCCCCGGGAATCCCTTTAGGGCGGCTGCTCTGTGATGCAATCACGAGGAGCCACCCTGGAACTGGGCCCTCAAGAGGAAGGGCGCACTATCGGGCACTACCTCCTCCGCCCCGCCGCTTGGCCTCTCGGGCCCCTTCGGCGGTGCTGCCTGCCCCTTCTTACCTTTCTAGGCTCTTCTGACCCTTCTGTGTTGGCGGTTCAGACATGTGTCCGCCGAGCTCTTTTCTCTTGTTGGCAAACTTCTCCTCTTCCGAGGAGGCAGCTCTGGCCCCTTTGCCGCTGCTGGCCACACTGATGTCGGTCCGAGTTTGACATCCCTCCCCGACCCCTCCAGGCCTCTGACTCTCAGGTGTCCCACACAGAGCTCCGCTCCCCTCCTCTCGCTCCCGGCACCCCTCCACTCCCCCGTGCCCACACAGCCACACACGTTCGCACTCACACTCGCACAAGGACCTCCAGTCACCTGACACACCCCACCTGCCCCAGGCCCCCGCTTGATCTCCTTCCCTTTTCCTCTGTCATCACCCCAGGCTGCAAGGATGTGTTACTGGTTGTTGCTAAAGGGGGCTGGGGAGGAATGGCTGAGTAAAACATGGGATTTGGTCTTGCTGGAAGTATCACAGATGCCAAATCCTCATGGTGAACAGCCCACTGACTGTTCAGAGCACACCTCCCCTGCAGACTTTTCCTTCAAAAACAATGCTATATGGAAGGTTGCAATCTTAACCAATCCTCAGGCCGGAGTATATCACTTAACAAATAAACAAGTTATAAGCAAAGTATTAATAACACACAAGATCCTAAAACTATATTGTTTGCTAGTTGCAAAGATAAAAAGATTGTAAACACCAAAATTTAACAGCTTTTCTTGTGGGGAAAAATGGGGAGTTTGGGATGACAGATGATCATTATTTTTTCTCTGTACTTGGCAGTTTCCACATTTACTACAATTGAGCATGTCTTATTTTAATAATAAAATGTCAAAAGTATTTTAAATGTTAGAAATATAGAATGGTAATACAATCAAGTATATGCAAATAAATGTTAGCTTTTCTACACACAAAAATAAGTGGAAATTCAAGTTGCAAATTTGCCCTAACAATGACAGGAACTAATGTTTGCTAAGTTCTGACACTGTGCTGGCACTCTTTTAAGAGTTTGATATGAGTTATCTTATTAAATCCTCACTATAATTTCCCCAATGTACATCTAAGGAAAGGGAGTTACAGGGCAGTAAGATCATTGCCCAAGATCATACAGCCAGTGGAATGCAAACCAAGCCACCTGACCCATGAACAATTGCTGCTCCTCACTATACTATCTCCAGATCTGTGATTTAAAGGGCAACTATAGTTTCCTGGGAATGATCATAAACAATCTACCAAGGAGAGAACCACTGGTTCAATGAACCTTTGATTGCAAACACCAGAAAGTAACTTAAGCAAACCTCATGGTTAAACAAAACCTGTTCTGCATCCTATCATTAGCAGCTGGGTGCCTAACTAGGGTGCTATTGAATCCTAAGGGTTTACAATTTACGTCTCATACAGATCAGTCAGGATTCCCCACAAATATTTCAGTCAATCCGCAGTAATTCCACTATACTGCGGGTTTAGCAATTATGCAAATAATGGATACCAAAGGCAAGATGATGTAAACAACAGGATGGGCCTCCCAGCACCCACACAGCAGCAGCTGGGCCAGGCTCTAAATTCCTCCTTCCAGAGAGAAGCTGCTCCCCAGTTCAGGTCGGGCCAAAAGCCTCAGCTGCCCGGAGGCAGCCAGGGCACTGGGCACCTCCCTCTCCACGTGCGGTCCGGGGAGCCCCAGGAAGACTTCCTCAAGCCAAACTGATGACCCACTCAGAGCCCCAGAATCCCTGATCCCTAACCCCCCAGTGACCCGGAAATGCTTGATCACAGACGCAGCGCTTTCACACTCGGAAGGCCTCCAAAATGCTCGCTCAACCGACCCTCCTTTTTTTCAGGGGAATGAGAGGCAGAAAGGTAAGGACATTCCCAGAAGGTTTTTGCTCACTAGAAAACAGGAGGATGTTCTCTTCACCGCTTAAAAACCTCATCAGGGAGGACCGCCCCTGGTGCGCCAAAAGGGGCTTCCCACCACGCACTGGCAGGAGTTTCCCAGGAGGCCCTTCCCCTCATCCACCAGGACGCACTCCCATCATCCACCACGACGCACTTCCCATCATGCCCCAGGACACACTCCCATCATCCCCCGCGGCAAACTCTAGCCGGTGTAGCCCTTCAGGGAGCGCAGCAAGGGACTGGTGTCAAGCTCTCCGGTGAGTGAAGGTACGCACAGTTCCTCTGTGCCTCATTTCCCCAGTAAGAAATTATCTTGTTGTCCTTCTTAATTACAAGTGGAGACAATCATCTCTACACACCCCACCCCTAAAAAAAAACGAGAAGAAAAACCGGTCCCAGGCTGGTGCACGTTCACCCCTGCAGAGGGGCTGCTGAGGGCGCTTCTGCTTCTAGGGGGGATTGCCCAGGGCCAGGAAAACTCCGTGAAACCACCCTGGGGCTGGCGTCTGACCCTTCAGCAACCTTTGGGTCCACCTCTCGGCTGGAGGCCCGTGGGCCTGGCAGTTGCCATGGCGACTGACTGAGCTCTTTAGGACAACGTGGAGAAAAGGCCTTAAGAACTGAGGGGGTTCAGTAAAGTGCAAACAGATTTTTTTTTTTAAGTTTGCAGCCACTGCTCGGATAAAAATCAGGGACTTTTAACAAAATGAGTTCAAGCCCATCCTAAGTATAGAAATACGAGGTTATTTATTAAAATAATCATACTCTTGCGAATTTAACAATTTTATGTATTGTAACTATTAGGATATATGGATATAAAAAACATATCTATAGATAGAATTGAAAACTTCTTTTTAAAGAACAGTTTTTGTAGTATCACACATTGGCATTTAGTGGGTAGGAGTCAGACCCAGGGTTGGAGTCCTAGCTCCATTTACTTCTTTCTGAAGTCAGTTAACTCATCTGTAAAATGGGGATAATGGTATAAGCCCTCTTAGGGCTGTTGTGAGGTCAAAATGCGGTATTTATAATGAGAGTAGCACAGTGCCTATCACACTGTAAAGCGCTTAGTAAATATTACCTATTGTTAATTACACTCTTGTTGTTCTTACAGGCTAAGCGCCTTTTGTCTATCAATAGGTCTTTGGGAAAGTTAACTTGTTTATCTTAATTCATTTACAATCATGTCTTTTTTCTTGAAGAGGATCAGACCGCCAGAGATGATTCAGCCAAGTAACTGCGACAATCAGAAGTTAGTCTGTGATGAACAGATCACTCGTAATGCTCATTCATTTGCACTAGTATACATAAGAGTGAGGGGAGACTGAAGCTTCTAGAAACATGTAGATGTAGATTCTTAAGTGTAAGTAGATATTTCAACTATTTGAGGATTAGCTCATATAAAATTGACAACCAACAAAGACGAAATTACCAGATACACATACACCCTTACCCCTTCCTGAAGTATGCAGTTTAATGGAAGGATATTGAAACACAGTGGTCAAGAGAGATAGGTAAATTATTTTCCAGCCAGGAAGTAGGATTATTCAGTAATGTATCACAACCGGTAGGCCAAACAGTTTCGTGGAAGTCAGCCAATGTGGAAATGAGATGTCATAAAATTGGGCAGACTTGAATTTCATGTTGGGCAGCAACTCAAGGACATACCACATGGCACAGTGCCTGGCACATAGTAAGTCCTCAATCAAAACAGGTTTATCAAACTGAATATTAGATATTGATTTGCAACAAAGCTGAGCTTGATGCAGAAATAAAGAGAAAAATAGTAAAATATATCACTTTTATTTTCAATTTTTATGCCTCTTAAATCAGACTCCATCTTTCAGGGGCTCTCAGTCTATCAGTGGCTTAACTGCATCTGTGTCTGCTGGGTCAGATACTAGGGGATTATGAGGAAATGAAAAAGAAGTTACCCATTTGAGGGCAAATTCTACATTAATCCACACCATTAAAAAAATTACCAAAACTATGTTGCCTTCTGACTACATGTTCATCCTTCATTTTAAAATGCATGTCACTCTTCCCTGCTGGTGGATGTGTAAGGTTCTAGTTTCGATACTGCAGATAACCTCACTCTGGCCAACAGTGGTGGTGGGAGATCCTGTGGTATGTGGAGCTGCGCCCTCCAGGACAGGACCTGAGGATGGATCAGGTTCTCTGAGAAAGGGGCAGGGAAAGAAGTAGCAATTGAGCAACATGCCCACTATTTTCCCAGAACAAAGCTCACCCTGCCCAACTGACAGGAAGGTCATGAGAATGTGGAACTGTCAGGTGCTGTAGAAATGTGATGTGTATATTTAGTTCTGGTTTTTAAGTCTTTTAAGTATATAATGTTTGATGAATACTAAAGAATATGTACTCACGCATGCCTGCAATGTGGCAGAGTAATGCAATGAACACCTGTGAACCACTGCCCCAAATAAGTAGATGAATGAATAAATACAATTACTATGAACGTCTGAGTACACAGATCTCCGTCCACATCCCAGATTCAACTCTGTATAATTCAGCTGTATAGAATTGAGAAGTACTGGGCCAGTGGGGAAGAAAATTAAGACTCTAAATACATATTATTGCATTTTCTCCTAGAATAGCCGTGCCCGTCCTACTCTCACCAGCACAGAGTGTGTGACTCGTTGCTCCCTCACCCACTGTAAGTCATTTTTCTCCTTTGCTAATCTGATGGGCAGAGCAGCATCTCATAGTGGCTTTA